CACATCATTTGTTCAATGTTGTTTGCGACTGAACTGGATATAGTGAATTGGGTGTCCATAAGTGTCAACATTTTTTTTTTTTTGAATAAGTTGACTTTGTATTAATATGTATAAAGAGGTACAAGCAAAGAGTAGCTACAAAATATAGCCAAACCTAGAGAGTGGATGACCATGTACAAAAACCCCACGGGGCCAAAAAAATACTCTACACCAGTGACAATAGAATAAGTGGGAGGGGGAGGCAAGCTTAAAAAATTATGTGGTTCCCTAGGAGGAGTTGAGGATAGCTCCTGCCCTAGTTAACGAGTCGGCAGCATCATTGCCTTCCCTATGGATGTGTCTCCCAGAGACCCTGATATACTGCTGCAAATGGGAGCTATCATAAAAAAGTGGTCTCCTCTCCACAGGCATGGGGCAACTCCAAAGGCCCAGGGGATGGTGTTTCTAGAGTCACCCTCGACCATTAACTGAGTACTCTAGTTCATATCAAATCTACAAAGCCCTTAACGAAGGGCGACGGCCTCCGCAGTGGTGGAGTCTGCAAAACCAATTGACAAGGAGAAGGATAGGATGTTGAGGCTTCGGAGTCTCTAAATATGCCTCCAATGCCTGAGGGGCCCAGGTTGCCAAGCGACCAACCGTTGAAATTTAGCTTGGTAACCCCCAAATTCAGTCGGTCTCCACAAAGAAGCACGAATCCTTTGAGCTCTAAGATCCAGCAAGGTCTCCCAGTGATAGTGAAGATCAGTGAAGAAGTAGTTGGCGAAAAGTTTTTGATTGAGGGCCCAGAATGTAACAAGGGACCGTCTCTTTTGATGATAACAAGGATGGTGGCTTTCTCCCCTCTAAAAGTCCTATTGTTTCTCTCTAACCATATAGTCCACTAAGTGGCTGAGATGGAGGCCTTCCAAAGGAGTTTCCTGGATTTTCCCAAGGGGTGTGAAGGCAAGAGAAAAAATGAGGAACAGATTGGGGAGTCACCTATTACCAATTGAAGAGGAGGAGCAGGTTTGTCCATTGGGACGTTACAACCTCACAATGTAGGAAAAGATGTTGATTTGTCTCTTCGGCTATCAGACACATGATGCATCTCTTCAGCAAGGGTAAGCCTCTGCGCTGCAGTTGATCCAAGGTAAGAGCCCCCTCATAGAGAGTGATCCGGTTAAAGAATTGGATCTTGGGAGGCAAGAAGGAGCACCATGCCTTTGCTGCAATGGATGGAGATATCAAGGTGAGGGTAGGCGGCAAGGAGAAGCAGCGGTGGAAGGAGGCGACTGAGAAAGTTTCCGAGGGAGAGGGGGACCATATAATCTTGTCCTCCCCTGAGGGTGGGAGGAAGACCAAGTGGAGGGCTGAGAGTTCCAAAAGTTAGTCGAACTCACGGTCTTCGAAGGGTCTGCAAAAGTCTAAATTCCAAGATCTGGGGGAGAGTGAGCTTGCAAAGTGCTCAGCCACAGTTGAGCGGGGGTCACGGGCTAGGAGGAAATGGGACGAGAACTGGTCTCTGAGGGGGGTGGACCCAAGTCAAGTGCCGTACCAGAATCTGACCCTGTGGACCACTTCTGGGTGAGTAGCGCACCTGGTTGAGGAAGGGTTGGCAACAGTGAAGGAGGGACCTCCAAAAGCCAGAGATGTTGCCCCCCATTCTGCAAGAGGGAAGCCACGCATGGTCCTCATGACAATACTTGCGTCAAGTTACCTCTCTCCAGAGATGGTTGGATTGGGTGGCATAGCGCCACCACCATTTCCCATCAAGGCGTTATTGTTGGATTTGAGGTCCCGTATTCAAGACCCCCTTGAGTTTTGGATCGGCAAATCTTGGACCAGGAAATGAGGTGGAACTCGTGGTTTCCTTCGCCCAACCAAAGGAAATCTCTCATGAGCTTTTCCAACCTAGCGATAACCATTGCTGGCATATAGAAAAGAGACATAAAGAAGAGGGGGATGTTAAAGAGAGTGGCCTTTATGAGCGTCACTCTACCAACTGGAGATAAGAATCTCCCCTTCCAAGTAGCCAATCTCCTTTCGACTTTTTATCACAGGGCTCTAATGCTGGATTCTGGGTAGGCCAAGGCCAAGGCAAAGACGGAGACCGAGGTAAGTGGAGGGCAGTGTATCTATAGCACACCCCCATCGGTCAGCAAAGGAGTTGACAAAGGCTTGGACTAGGCAAATGTCCATCATCTTCGTTTTTTCTAGGTTAATTATAAAGCCCGTTGCAAGTTCGAAGCATTGGAGAAAATGTAGGAAGAAGTCAACTTCTTGTTGGGAGGCATTGCAAAAAATTAGGGTGTCATCGGCGTATAGGAGGTGAGAGATCGCGGGCCCTGACCTTCCAATTTGAAAACCCAAGACGAGACCCGCCCTATACATTTGGGAGATGGAGGCGCTGAAGACCTCTGCCACTATCGATAGAGGAAAGGTGATAAAGGGTCTCGTTGGAGGAGCCCACGTGATGCTTGGAAATAACCCTTGGGGGTGCCATTAATGAGAATCGAGAACTAATGTTTGGAAATAGACCCTTGAATCCACTTGCGCCACACGTCCCCAAATCCCATTTTATTGGGAGTTTCGTCGACGACCCTCCAATCAACATGGTCATAGTTTTCTCACAGCCTAATTTGACAATCAGACCAAGAGTTTTGGAGCTTGATCGAGTGCTCCATCGAGAGTTTGATAGTCCTTCACAAAAGCCCCTTGGGAAGGGGAGACGACCCACTGAGAACTGACTTCAGTCGGAAGGCAAGAACATTAAAAGGAATCTTGTGAGAGTGTTTATCAAGCTAATAGGCCTGAAGTCTTTAAGTTCTTCGGCACCCTCAATTTTGGGAGTTAAGGCTATGAAGCTAGCATTCATAGCCTTGTTGTGGATGGTGGCCCTAGAGTGGAATTCATCAAGGAAAGCCATGATATCAGGTTTCAGGGTGTCCCAAAAGAACTTGAAGAATGCGATAGGAAATCCATCAGGACCAGGGGCTTGGTCGCCACTAAGGTCCCTAATGGCCTGGAGGACCTCGTCATCAAGAAAGGAGTGTTCAAGAGAGGTCTGCCATTACAAGTCTGGGCCGTGTAGGAGGAGAAGAGTTGTGAGAAGTAATGGACAGCAGCCTGCTCAATGAGATGTGGCTGGTCTAGGATTCGTTCCCCCATCTTCAGATGTGTTACAGAGTTTTCTTTCCTTCAGCAGTTTGCTATTTTGTGGAAATATGAAGTATTTTGGTCACGGAGCTTTAACCACTTGACTTTGGCCCTCTAAGACCAATAATTTCTTCTTTGTTTAGGAGGGCATGAAAGTCGAATTTGTCCTTGGAGAGAGCCTCCAGTTCAGAGGGGGAGAGGGGCCTTTGTTCTTCGATGGAGTCCCAATGTTGAATTGACCACAGCAGCACCTCCTTCTAGGAGCGAAAATTTCCCGGCAGTTTGACATTATGAAGAGCTTGGGAGTGTTGATGCCAAATTGGTCTTGTTGCTATAAAAAAGGTTCTAGGTTGGCTGGTCCAATTGACAGGACAGGGAACCAGGCTTTAACCAGGCCCAATCTCAATCAAAACCAAAAAAAATTGTAAATCCAGTAGAGTTGCTATTGTGCCAGTCAGATAAGTTTGACTCAATGGTTGATTGCAATGTCCTTTTTCCTTTTGGAGTTTAATGTTCAGTTTTGCTCTTTTCTTTTTTGGATTTTGTTTATTATAAATTTGGGTCAAAATAAATATTTGAAACACTTCTCAGATTGGTGTGGACTGGACCAGCTCCCTAACCTGAGGCACAAGTGGTCCACTACTTATAACTTCAGATTTCTCATAGTTGGGATACTTTGAGGAGCATTGATGATGGAAGACTCCCATCTCTTTTTATTTTTATTTAATTGGGCGGGTGGGCTACATTATTTGAGGAACAATCCATGTGAGTTTATTAAGGGTAGGGAGAAGATTAAACTTTTCCCAGTTTTGACTGACCATATTAATTTCTGTCTACTTCGCTGCCTGGACACCACTGGTGTACTTGGAATGATAATTGCTAATTTTATTTGCATGGATTTTGTGAGTTTATGAGTATTCCTCTCTTGCTTTCATCATTGTTTCTTCGGATCCTATTATTTGATTAGGCTGATGTACTTTGAATGGTATCTTGCCTTTTGCAGGATGCAAATTTTCTCTGAATACCATGATTTTCACATTCATTATTATTTAGTTAGTTTAATATTTGTAAGCTGATGGGATCATCCTTTAGTTAGAACAAATGTTTCTTCCTTATGGAAAAATGTCTCATGTCTAAACTATTATTGTATTATAACATATCTCCTTACAAATTTCTTGCTTCTTTAGACCTCAAGCAGTCAAGTTTAAGGTCAGTTTTGGATAAACAAAGGGCGAGGTTGTGTAAGGTGCCCACTTTTTACTATACAACGTGCACCTCAAAATTTTGCCAAAAGATGCAGTTTGGGTGTCGGAAACCTTACAATGGTTTGAAAATCCATGTGCAACCCTATTTCTAAAATTTAAAATTCCAAAAACTGTGCAAATCAAGCAGATCTATATAAAACACTTGAAAATCTTGAAATAGATGGTCTACATAACTTATTACAAGATGCACTATTTTTAAGACTTGAAATTTTTTTTTCTTTATATCCATACATCTCAAGGTCGAGATGATCAATTGAAGGTTTTCAAACTTTGGAACAATCTTTTCTATTGGATTTTTTAGGTGCACCTTACTTATATAGTATGAGGTTGCAACCTTATATAAACTTTTTCCTTAAATAATAAGTTAGCCATCAATCTCACTTATCATGTATTGGTAAGGGAGCTGCTGTGGCTGACTCTCTAAGTGAATTGCTTTGGAATCCACAAAGTGTGTTGATTTTGGTCGTAGAAAACCTTTGTCTATACGTCATGCTATTTGTTAAATATTTTTCTTGTTATCACAACCTACTCATAGAGCAATGCAAATGGAACACACAGTCATAGTTTTGTGATTATAATCATTGTAAAGACATTTACCAAAGCATCGGCATTCCTGAAGTTATTGTTCGCAGATGACATAGTTTTAATCGATGAAACCTGAAACAACGTCAACATAAAGTTAGAACTTTGGGGGGATGCTCTAGAATCTAAAGTTTTAAAATTAGCCGGACTAAAGCTATGTATTTACAATGCAAATTTAGTAATAATAGGAGTAGAGATGAGGAAGTATTTAAGATTGACGGCCAAAAAATACCAAAAGAGCACACTTTTGTTATCTTAGGTCAATAATCCAGAAAAATGAGAGATTGAAGAAGATGTCACACATCGAATTAAAGTTGGGCGGAGGAAGTGGAGATGTGCAACCGGAGTTTTATGTGATCGCCACATACCAATGAAGCTAAAGGGCAAGTTCTATAGGACAGCTGTCAGAGCAACTTTACTTTATGGGGTGGAATGTCGGGCAGGCAAGAAACAATATATTCATAGAATGTGTGTAGTTGAGATGACGATGTTGAGATGGATGAGTGGCAAGACAAGAAGGAATAGAATCCAAAATGAATACATTCGGGGGAATTTACGTGTGGCACCAATATGTGATAAGATGAGAGAAAGTAGACTTAGGTGGGCTGACCATGTGTGGCACATACCCAATATAGCACCCGTTACGAGGTGCAAGTTAGTCCAAGTGGAAGGCAAAAAAAAGGCAAGGGGAAGGCCCAAAAGGATATGGTTGGAAGAAGTAAGAAACGATATGGAGACTTATGGCATCATTGAGGGTATGCCCTTAATAGAGCATAATGGCATACTGGGATTTGTGTAGGCAAACCCAATTAGTTGGGAAAAGGCTTCAATGATGATGATGTTTGGCAATCCTAAAGTTGAAATATAAATGCGCCACAGGACATTACTCAGTTCAATTGACACCAGAAGGTGATGTTTGCCAATCTCCTAGTCTGAAATGCTAATGGAGGAAGAGAGAATTGCAAACCAGAGTTGTCGGGATCTCCCAACCAACCTAGGTGACGATCCCACTCCAAAATCCTTTTTTTTTAACTATTATATTAAGGCATAAGACAAATTAAAAAAGTATAAGCAACCCACAAGCTTAAATTTTGGGAGTTCCAACCCCACTGTTAGCAATCTCAATCCCCAGCGTAAAACAGATAACAATCAAACTGGTGATTTTCCTGATTTATAGCCAACAAACAATGCAACCATACTTTCAATATATTTGCATCGCTTGCTGGTTATAAATTTAAAGGTCCTTATTTTAAAGAGTATATATACTCGTTTAGGTTGGGAGCAAGACCCCAAATGTTGGGGTCGAGATCCCTAACATTTGCAGCGTACAAATGATACTCCCAACCATAGGGATCTTCTAGCCTATCACAGTCCCCCACTCATGCTTCCGCTCTCAATCCCAACAACTATGTTGTAAACCAGAAAAATAAAATTGAAAAGGGTGAGAGAGGAGTCCACCCCAAAAGATCTTTTCACAAGACCCAAAACGAATTCGCTTTTTTATATATCTTGATCAACACTAAATATTCATAAAAATAATAACCCTAAAGCCTAGGCCCTGTTTGGATGGACAATAAATTTTATCTGGAACATATGATCTAATCTTATATTAAAATACTCTGATAATATTGTTTCATAGGTTGTTTAGTACGTATCTTGTATTATGAATAATATTGTTTGAATATTTAACTTTTCAATGAATTCCAACTATTCTTAGTTATTTCTAGCCAAGAACATACGATGTTCAGCAAATCACTTTGAATAAAGTAAAAACAAATTTTCAAAAAGATAAACATATATGTGAAATTGTCTATGAGGTTATCTCAGATAACCTTATCTTGGACAGAACCAAACAACTCGTTATTAGGATTAGTTTGATTAAAACAACAAATTATTAAGGATAATGAGTACATCCAAACATACCCTTAACTTGCTCCTTAAGAACCCTAACTACAATTAAATCCTAGCCCTTGGTCTATTTGAAATCAAATTTCCAACTATTCCCCTCAATTCTCTACAACTAAAAAAGACACAATGCCCTAAAATAATAAAAGACCACAAAACCTAAACACAATTGCAGTCTCTTAAGAAAGTGGCAACCCGAGTTGCATCATTCTCTAGGGGTCAAGAGAACCTCAAGCTCAAGTTTGAATACTCAAAAGTTGAATCAAAGCCTATTTCCTTTGAGTTCTCATAATGCTACAAAAACCTACTCTTAGGCTTGAGGATATCATGAAGGTTGTTACTCAAAGCACAAATAAATCCATGGACGAGATTCGAGTCGAACAATTAGGAAATACCAATCATCAAGAAAAGGGTTCTCATGATCCAAAAGATCAAGGGCCAAATCTCAACTCCGTGATAAATTGAGCACCACTACTGACTCCAATGGTTGATCCCCAATGTAATGAGCAAATTTGGAGGTAAGAACCGAGCATCCATGAAATCTTGGTATTAAGGTCAACTCCCTGAGTTTCGTGGTAAGCTCCACACATTGGGTTAGATTGATTGGTTGAGTACAATAGAGAAGTTTTTTAAATAGAATGAATTGTCATAAGAGTATAAAGTAAAACATATTCAACCAAGCTCTATGGGTATGTCGCAGTCTGGAGTGAACAAGTTCAACAATCTTGATTGCACAATAGAAGGGCAAAATTTCTCATTGACAAAGATGAGAAAGAAGTAGAAAGAAAACTTTCTTCTGGGCTCAAGGCTACGTGGTCAGGATAGAGGGGCGCCACAATATGACGTCTTGAGTTCCATTCCTACCATGGGCAAGGGACCCTTTCCCGCTTAACCCCATTTTTTAGGTAGTTATGCAGGAATGGTGTCCCTACCCATGGTAGGAATGGAACTCAAGACATCACATTGTGGCGCCCCTCCACCTTGACCACTAGCCGCCATGAGCCTATTCTTAAAAAGGGGTCACTCAACTTTGTTTAGTTTTTTTTGTCCTTAGACAAACTTCAAGGATTTGAACCCTAATTTTCCTCACCCAAATTGATATGGCTACCACTAAGCTCAAGCTTAGGTCTTAGGGTTTTTATTCCTAAATATGTTAAGTGTTGAACAAGAAATATAAAGAGACAAAAATTGATGCATGGAGGAGGGAAGAGAAACAAAATAAACAAATAAATAAAAAATAAAAGGGGTGAGACAATATGCCCTCTCTTTAGATCCACACAAGAGTTTGCCTCAAAAGGTCGAGAGATTTGACCCTCTCTAGTTCTGTAACAAAGTCCACCCAAAAAGATCTTTTCGCCAAGACCCAAAATCAATTCTCCTTTTCTTTATTTTCTTGTTCAACACTTACATATGTATAGAAATAAAAACTCTAAAGCCTAACTTGCTTCTTAAGAAACTCTAGCTACAATGAATCCTAACCCTTCATTATTCACAAAACTTCAATTATATCCCTTAATTATCTACAATGAAAAAAGACACAAATACCTCAAATAAATAAAACACAATATGACCTAAAGCAAAGTTCAATGTCTTAAAGAATAATAAATAAAAAAATAAAAGCCCAAGCTACATCATTCTCTCGGGGTTAGGAGATGGTCGATTTCAAGCTTGAAGACTTAAAAGTTGAATCAAAGACTATCTCCTTCGTCACCATCTAGGTGTACACCTAGATGGTCATCTTTGTCATGATTTAATTGGTTTCTTTAGCCAAGTGTTTCTCCTTCTTCCTTTTTGGGAATTCATTTGCATAATGTCCACGTTCATTACACTGATAAAAAATAATGTTGGAGGAACCTACTTGATCCCGTTCCTTCTTTTCTTCATTAAATTTTGGGTGTCGGGAGCCTCTTTTTATGTAAGGAATTTCTTACCAATGGTTAATTGTAATTTGGTCCCCACTGGTAAAGTAATTTGAAAAACTTCACTTAAGGTCAATGGCCCATATAGAAACACACGGTTTGTTGAAGCCCATTAACATAGAAGCAACCTTTTGTCCTTCCATCTCTGGGAGGTTGTTTCGAACCGCAAGTTTATAAAATTTCCCTGCATAGTCCTCCACTTTTTCTCATACAGTAGAAGATTTTGGAGGTCTTGAAAGAAACTTTGCTCATTATACGTAGAAAGGAAAAAAAATTCAACTTCTTTTTCATCTTTTGCCCAAAAAAAATTGCTATGTATCCAGAGTCAATATTATCGAACTTGTTCCCACCAAGCCATAGCAAACCCATGGAGCGTGGTTGCAACAAGTTTAACTATACGTTCTTCTAACAATTCATTTCATTCAAAAGAATTTCTACCACACTCAACCAAGTAATAAACACTTTGTGGAGTGTACCATGAAAATCGAGGAGATATTGAAATGTCATGGACACTCTGTAAATCGTGGTTCTTGTCTCCAAAATTTACTCATTACGTATGGGATCAGCTACTTGAGTCAATAGTAGAGCTCAATCATCTCGAAGTTGAGATTTCGCATAAGATATACTGGATTATGAGTGTTCTTTTCTCGAAAATCGTATTTTCTGATTGTTGCAACCACTGATTTATTTCGTCAATCTCTCCTTGATTTTCGTGAATCTCGACTTGAATATCTTCATGGCTTTAGTTATGCTCTCATTAACAACTGTCATAATATCCCCAATTGTAAGAGACAAAGAGCGGGTTCTGACAATACTGTGATGGATGGATCTTATGAATCTCTGATACCAATTAATGTAGAGAGAGGGGGAAAGAAAATAAATTGCAAATCAAAAAAATAAAATTAAACAAAGGGTCAGAGAGTATATGCCATCTCTCTTGGTCTCAAGGGAGTCCATCCCAAAATATCTTTTCATAAGACCCACAATCAATCCTTAATCTCTATATTTTTCCTGCCCAACACTTGATTTTTTTTTTGGTGCCATTGGAGGTCCTTTTTTTTTTTTAATGATTCTGGATGCCGATTAAGTATTTATTCTGAAAACGTAGTTTTTGGATGGATTAGGGTTTGTGTCAGTTTTGTCAAATTCGCTTTCGCTTCGCTTCGGTCAAAGAGACCGAAGCCTTCGAATTTTAGGCCTAGACCGAAACGAAGCTTGGTGTTGCCGCTTCGGGCAGATTCAAGCCACTTGTAGATTCGGCTCTTCTTTGGGCAGATTCGCTGAAGCTTCGGCCTCTTCGGCCCAAGCAAAGAAATATCTATATAAAAGTACTTTTCTTTTTTTGAAATTTTATTTTAAATTTTTTTATTATTTCTATATATTGATGTTGCTGCTACAGTCTGTTTCGGGCCGCTTTGGTCAAATTCAAGTCTGCTTTGGGGCTGAAGTTTCGGCCTCTTTGGCCCAAGCAAAGAAATATTTATAAAAAAATTATTTTTTTATTTTTTGAAATTTTATTTTAAATTTTTTCATTATTTTTATATATAAATATCTAATTTATTTATATTAAATTAAAAAAATCCAAAGTCTTCCCCCAAATCGGCCGAAGCACCGAATTGCTTCATTTTCATCACCAAACCGAAGAAGACCCCGTAGCGACCGTAGCAAATCTGACAAGATTGGTTTGTATGCCCCAATCACATTCTCTCTCACCCGGCACCCTCTCTTTCTCTCATCTCTCACCACTCACACAAGCCCCCTGCATAGCTGTGAGCTCAACACACACACTCTCACCTCCCTCGCAAGGGGTATAAAGGGCTTCCACCTTTTGAACCCTCTAGCACACACTAACCCTTAGTGGGTAACCCTCTAAGCCCAACCTTGAGCCCACTAGCCGCACTTAGACCCCCTAAACTCTAACTTTGAGCCCATCGACCCAGTGAACCCAGGTTCAACCCATCAAACCTAGGCTTAACTCATTTCTGAGCCCACTTAAGTACACCAAACCCAATAAGCTCCAACGGGTCACTATTACCCATCTGAAACCCATTATTTACATCCATCCAAAACCACCAAACCTTGTTAGACTCACCACTCAAAATTGTTAATGCTGCTTTTTGATGTTTTTCTTGAAAAAAAAGAATCTGGTCAAATTTGCGGGTGTAACCAGATCCGTAAAACCTTTTATTTGAAGAGATCAAAGGGTTTAACTTGATCTCAATAGTTGATTAAGATCTGAGGGTGTAATCGGACCATAACTACAGTAAAGAACATCTCTACAGGCATCACATATGGAGTCATCTGGACCCCAAATCACCACAATCAGGTTTGATGGAACCAACTATTTAGAATGGGCCAGGTCGGTTAGATAATTTTTGGTTAGAAAGGCAAAACTAGGATACATTGACCGTCGTGTGGAAAAACCTGACCTGAAGGATGCTAAATATGCATATTGGGAGGCTGAAGTTATGGATATTATGAATTGGATATTATTTCCTATGCAGCCTAATATGAGTTGATCTTTTATGAACGACAATAACTCTAAAGAATTATGGGAGGCAATCTATGAGTCCTATTCCCAAAAGAAAAATATTGCACGGGTTTATGAATTGGGGAAGCAAATCAAAGATTTTAAACAGCGTGACTTGTCCTTGAGAAACTATTATGCTCGTCTACGTAGTCTTTGGGATTGAATTAAGCCAGCATCAGTCCATACAATGTTCTTGTTGTACCAAAGAACTAAGAGAGAGAGACTGGAACAAAGATTTTTGATCGTTTGGGGGGAGTTAATGCAGAATATGAAACAATTAGGGTAAATGTTCTCAATGACGATACTTTGCCATAACTTGGCATTGTTTTCCACCTTCTTCAACGTGAAGAACTCAATGCAAGATAATAGCAGTGTCTATGGGTGAAACTGAAAGATCCGCCCTATTCTATGTACTTATAATATTTTAATAATTTCAGACCACGAGCGAAGATTGGAGGATCAAACTCCAAATTTGGGTAAATTTTAATTTTTATTTAAAACTATATAATTGACTTATTTTTTACAAATTCAATTCAAATTTATATCATTATCTATGTTACATGTACTTATAATGAGTTTAATAATTTTTATGATTTTTCATATCTTTTAGGAATGTTGGGCCACACAGGGCACGCTAACTCGACTTGTCTAAGTAGCTCGCACCAGTCAGGGGTCGAGTTTCGCCCCCAGGTCACTTTTTCGAACATAGGTTATCTGCAGTTTGAGGACATGGAGTGCTGATCATGGTCTTATGGAAGAGTATAAGAGGGAAGAAAGCAACTACACCTCAAATGTAGTGGATAACATAAATAAATGAGTTTGGCATCACTCGTAACAAAAGATGGATTAAAATTATGGAATTTTAAATAAATCAGATAGTAGAAATGAAATGCATGACATAAACAAATAAACCGAAGCTTTATAGTCCTATCACGAGTTCCAAATTTCGCCACATGCAGGAGATTCTCAACGAATAAAAAGTACAACGACAAAAACTACTACTATACTCATCAAAAATATTTGTAGAAAACAAAAACTCCACAAGGGAAGATGGCCCATAAATACCTTGCAAGCACCAATCCCCTGCATCTTATGCTTTTCCAACTTTAATCATCAAGATTGTGTCAGCCGTGATCAAATCATATCTGCAACCCTTGACTTTGTAGGTGCACGACATAGAATGGCAGCCTTCATGGAATCTCAACAAGGAAGGAAGAGAAAGTTACATGAAGCCACCCCCATATTTGCATCAACAGAATCTCACTATAGAATAGCCCTAATCATGCAAGTTCTAAAAAGCAATCCATCCAAATTTGGAAGTACAAATGCCACTGTAAAATAGCACCTATCATTTGATCACCCATTGGTGAGCAGGTCCTTGCATTTTGGCAAAAATTGTGCCCTCATCAACATGGAAATGTTAACTTCACTTCCTAGCAGGAGAATTTGCAAGCTAATTTAAATTCTTGAAATGGTTAGAATCCTAGCCTCAACATCATTTATGTCATGGGAAAGTTTATACTTCCCCTACTGCATAGAAGATATATTCTTCCCCCATCCAGCCGTCCAATTAAGATCCAGTAAGCCATTAACCGTTTGATCTAGATCTGACACCTCAAAGTATTTTATTTTTAGTTTTTATTTACACATTATATGAATATGAAATTGGGTATGTGCCATCATCTCAATGACGCGCACCTAAAAAAAATATTCAAAACAATTTTATGATAAAATATAATGACCAAAATACCCCTTAAAACTTTCAAGGGTATTTTGATCATTTTATTTTATTGAGAATATTCTTTATATATTTTGTACAGGCGCAAATTTCAATGACGAGTAGACGCCTAAAATTTGGTGTCAAAATAGTTCATAAAAAAATTAAAAATAAAATAGTACAAAGACGTGACATTGTGATTGGGGCCATCTCAAACGTCCATTCAGAATGGACAATTAGATTGGGGAAGTATATAAGTTTTATGCAATAGGGGAAGCATAGAAAGCTTGCCTTATATTAATATTAAAATTTAAAAACCCAACTCATAGCATAGAGACCTCATTTTATATTGGGAAAAACTACTACACTTCCCCACCCATATATATTTTTCCTAGTTCCCCCATCTCCCAACCGTCCGACCTGAATGGATGGCTAAGATGGCCTTGATCACATTGTCACACCCATAAAATGTTTTATTAATAATTTTTTTCTATAAAAGATTTGGCCACCAAATTTGGGGGCGTCCACTCATCTCTTAAACTCACAACTGCAAAAATAAAAAGACAATATTCCCAATAAAATAAATGACCAAAATACCCCTAAAAGTTTCAGGGTTATATTGGTTATTTTATTTTTAAAAAATATTTTTCTAATATTTTCTTTTAGTGTGCGCCATTAAGATGATGACACGTACCAAATTTCATCTTCATATGATTAGTAGAAAAAAAATAAAAATAAAATAGTCTGAGACATCATATCCATATCTTACGTTCAGTGCCTCATTGTGACATTATGGCTGAAGGCATCCTAGCCATCCATTCAGATCGAATGGTTGAGAGATAGGGGATGTAGGAAAAATATAAATGGGTGAGGAAGTATGGTAAGTGTGCCCTTTTATATTTGGTTGGTTTGCATAAGGTTGCAACCTTAAACAATTAAAGTAAGGTGCGCCTCTAAATTTTATTATAAGATGTAATTTTGGTGTCAAAAATTCTTAAGTGGCCTAATCTATTTGCATCTCTAATTATAAAATTTTAAACCCCAAAAATGGCTCAAATCAAGTAGATCTATAAACACATGAAAATCATGAAAATGGATGGTCCCCATAATGTGTTGTAAGATGCACTATTTTTGGGGCTCAAGATTTGTTTTTATGTTTTTTTCTATACATCTTGATGTCGAGATGATAAATTATAGGCTTTTCCAACATCAAAACAACCTTTTCCGATGGATTTTTGAGGTGCACCTTAATTCTACAATTTGAAGTTGCAACCTTATATAGACATTTTCCTTTATATTACATACATTCGACAAATAGTTAATCAAGTCAATTCCAGTTGTTGCAATAGAAAAGCAACTAATATACCCTTGTCCGTACCACTCAAGAGATAAGACCAGCCAAGTGATTCCCTTGGTGTATTTTTAAGACAAAAAGAATCACTTCAATCATAACACACGCCCTTGCTATTTCAAAGCTTGCTCTTTTCCACCTTCTCAGAAAGCCCCTCGATCATCGAGATATACGTGCCATCATCAGGCATTAGGCCCCTGCTCACCATCTCTTTGAGGAGCTCCTCAGCTTGACCCCCTTCTCTCGCCTTGCAAAGCCCTTTAATAAGGGCATTGTAAGTGAGAATAGTGGGATTGAAACCTGTACTTAACATCTCATCGCGGATCTTAAAAGCATTATTCATTTCACCCTTCCGGCTATACCCACTGATAAGAGTATTATAACTAATATAATCAGGCTTGATTCCTCTTTCCTTCATCTTGTCAATGAGCCCCCGAGCCTCATCGGCTTTCCCAACTATACACAATCCGCGCATCAATGTATTATATGTAATTTCATCTGGAAAAAGCTTCTTATCATCCATCTCTTTAAGGAGCATAAAAGCATCGTCTACATTCCCAATTGCACAATGTCCATCAATTAAGGCATTATACAATACCACATCTGGGCTAATGCCCTTAGTCATAACCTCTTTAAATAAGCGATCAGCCTCTTCCATCTTATTTTGCTTACATAGACCATATATAAGCGAGGTATAAGTAACCTTAGTGGGCTCAATCCCTTTGTGAAGCATCTCAGCATGGAGTTCAAATGCCTTAGAAGCATTGCCCTCTTTACAATACCCATTAATCAATATATTATATGTAAAAACATCAGGACCCACATTTCTTGATACCATTTCCTTGATCATATCATCCACTTCCTTATTTTTCCCAGCCATAAAAAGCCCATGAATAAGAGGATTATAAGTGCAAATAGTGGGTTCTATTCCTCTCTTAATCATCTCATTTCTATATTTAAAGGCCATTTCCAATCGCCCATTGTTACAAAACCCATCTATCATTGCGTTATAAGCCACGACAGTGGGAACCAGGCCGCTCTCCTCCATTTTTGCCAAAAATTGAGCTGATTCCTCAAGTCTTCCTTCTTTACAAAGCCCACTTATCAAAGATGCATATGTGAAAGAATCAGGAGACACCCCCCTATTCTTCATAGTGTCAAAGATTTCTAGGGCAATTTGAACCTTGCCTTTATTACAGTATCCATTTAAAACTGTGTTATATGTCACAACAGTGGGCTTAAATCCAAGCCCCTCCATGTAACTGAGGAACTCTTTTGCCTTATTTAATTTCCCTTCTTTACACAAAATATTGATCATTATATTGAAGGTAACAATACTTGAAGGGATTTTTAGCCTAAAAATCTCAGCATAGATAACCCAAGCAGTCTCGGTCTTGTTTTGCTTCGAAAGAGTGCTTAAAAGGAAATTACAGGACTCAATGCTAGGACTTAATTTATGCCCTTTCATCAAATAGAAAATTTGCACAGCTTCATCACTCTTTTGCAAATGACAACAGGCCTTAATTAACAAATTGAAAACCAGTGTATTCTTGGTTTCACAAACTTCTTTGGCTTTCATTAAAGCATCAAAAATCAAAGTATTAGGGCCAAAGCCACCATTAACGATTCTTTGAAGGAGTTGCAAAGCTGGTTGGGGATTTTCAAGACCAGCAATGATGTGAATTGCGATGCATAAGCATCTGAGATCGAGATGAAACACTAAATCCGATTCTAAGTGCTTGACAAACCCTAGAATTTTATGAGGTCTAGAACGAAGCTTAACCATTGTATCAGCGATCAGGTCCATAGTCATCACTCGAGATATACGCTCAAGTGAAGTCCATTGAGATTTCAAAATGGCTTTCTCCAAGGTTCCAGATACATTTTGTGCAATTTCTAAATTCGAAGTAGAGAGAAAGCGCGACTCACCTAAACACCCTGGAGATCCGCCGTTGAATAAGAGATCGATGATTCTGCAAGACTTGAGTTCCTGAAAATAAAAGGTTTTTAGGATTTTCATAGTCGTTTTAGACAGCCAAGGGTTTAAGGGGCATGGGCTTTTTTAGGGTTTTGAATGTAACCTGTATTTCTGGACGAACTGCACAGTACTGAATAACTCTTTAAAGAGATGGGAACCCATGTAGGTGAATATTAGAACGAATACCCTTCATCTACCTTCGGTATGTATGCTTGAACGGTGGAGATGAGAGGGAAACTGAAGGGGACATGATCGACGGCGGAGATTGAATAAACTAGCTAACAGGAAGATCCGGAGTGCCCAATATGATAAACTGAACAAAATTTGGTTTACTTGTGCTGGAGAGAGAAGAGTTTTTTGTTTTAACATAATTAAGCGAGGAAGATAAGCGCTTACTATTTTTTTTTTTTCCAATAAATTAGGAGTTAGCTTTTTTAAAGTGTTGGTGGAGTGGTGTTAATGGTAAGGAATAGAAACCGAAACATGGTGATTAAGGTGTCAGGTACTATTTTTCCAGTAAATTAGGAGTTAACTTTTTTAAAGTGTTGGTGGAGTGGTGTTAATGGTAGGGATAGAAACCGAAACATGGTGATTAAGGTGTGAGGTACTATAGCTACGACCCCAAGCCCTTCCTATTGGGAGAGAAGAGTTGGGATAATTGATTCCTCTTTTTCTTTTTTGACGACTCTTACATAAGGCATATTTGGTTCGTGTGAAAATAATTCTCACTTGATAAATTCATTCATGTAATTATGTGTAAGAATGGTTTCATTCCCCTTACTAAAACCTCTTTACTAATACCTTTCAAAAAACTAACTCCTAATCTATTTGAGAAAACGGGATAGGGATTTGTCTACTCCATTGAATCACCCAATGATGAGGCGGTTTTCGCCGCTTAATTAGGGAGAAGGCAGTTCTTGTCCATTTCCCTTTATTTTTTATTTTTTAGGAAAATTATAAAATGGAGTTGAAACCTTTTAACAATGTCACGAAAGGATAGAAAATTTTTTTATTTTTTTTGACAAGGAGGTAGAAATATTATAAATTATATTTTTTTGAAATATTGATTGTTTCTTTTTAAAGTACTTTTACTTGTTTGGGTTTCCCAATTTCAAATAAGGATAATTTAGAAAATTTTAACTTTTTTGAAGTTGTACCAAATTGATATTGAGTATTCAAAATAAAACCTTTGTATATAATTTAGAAACTTTAGACCCATTACTCATTGATAAGGTAAGGGCACCTTTTTTGAATTTTCATACTCGTGGCCATTTAGCTTTTTTTATATAAGGTTACGATCCTATTAAAATAAGTAAAGCCTCCCTTAAAAACTCACCAAAAATTATATTTTTGAAAACCTTCAATTAAAAAAAAAACCCTCAACCTTAAAAATAGTATATATTATGAAATATATTATTTAAATGGTCAATTGCACCTAAAAAATATGAAAATTATATTGTGAAGTACAGTAAAAACTGACCCATATTATACCACATTTTATAATTAAAGTATTATTACCGCATTTAAAATACCCCAAATCCTTTTCTCATTCTCTAATTCTTTTTATGTTTATATCTTCTTTCTCTCTCCATGATTTTTGTATAATAACCTATGCATACCTTACCCTCATCTATAAAAACTTTCTTAAACCCCATCCCTTATGAAAATTAGACGGAGTCAGATTTGTATCGGATTAGAATCACGTTTGTTGAGTTGATGAAGTAAGTAGAGAGAAAAGGAGAGTTAAAGATAAATAAGAGATAAAAAAAAAAAAGAGAGAACAAGAAGAGATAAATGTTAAAAAGAATTAGAGAATTGATGAAGTAAGTAGAGAGGGAAAGAGAATTAGAGACAGAAAAAAAAAGATAAAAATAATAATTAGAGAGAGAAAGAAGAAATAAATATTAGAAAGAACTAGAGAGAGAAAAAAGAGATAAAAAAATTAGAAAAAAAATAAAAGATAAATATTAAAAAGAATTAGAAAAAAAAAAGAGATGGTCATAAAAAGAATTAGAGAGATAAAATAGATAAATATAGACGCAACTAGGAGAAAAAGGTTTACGCTACTTCAAGTGCTGTAATAATACTTTAACTTTACACGATATATAAAATCGTGTATAACATCAGTTAGTTTTTAACCTTTACATTTCCAAAATTGAAAAAAATTGAAAAAAGAGGGTGTGGTTAGTTTTTATCATTCACTTGCTTGTAATTGAAGAGAATTGAAAAAAACAGTTGCTTGTAATTGAAGGGAATTGAAAAAAACAGTGGACAAGGTTTATAAAAGTTAAATTTTTTTTTTTAAATAGATGAAAATTAAAGATATTTGTGATAATTTTTTTTAAAAGATCTTTACAAATTGAAAAAAAAAAAATATAGATGAAGTTTATAAAAATTAATTTTTTTTAAAAAAATATCTCTTTATCCCCTATGTTTGACCACCGAAGTGTTGAAAACTTGAAAATATTGATTGTAGCGTAAGTCTCCATCTTTTATTTCTTATTAACCTCAATTTTTGTCTTTCTTACAGAACTCTACAGACGTTTGATTATGATTTTTTTGCCCAAACAAATACTAAAAGGACACCTCTCTCGTGAATTCGGCTCTCATAAGGTCTCCATCTCTCTCTTTCGCATGTTCGAGTAGCATTCTCTCTTGTATTCGGTTCTCTGCAGCATTTCTCAAGCTCAGAGTGTTGGAGTAAAAGCCCATGAATTTTTCGAAATCTCCCCTCTTCTCCATTATTCAGGGTTTTAAGACCTTCCCTGAAATTCAGGTTTTTCTCCTTTACTACTTTTGCTGGTGAGTCTGGGAGAATTGGAATTTTCTTAGGTCTGAGCTTTCCTACAGTGACGGTGAGTTAATTCGAAACTTGGTGATAGCTTAGTATCGTTTTTAAGGAATTTTGAAGAGAATAAAGCATCTCTAATATCAATGCGGCGATATAAATTTGAAATTTTGATGGGTTATCAAAGATATATCTGTGATAGCACTTGACTGTGTAGTGTTTCGAAATTATGCTTAATTTTGTTTGGGAATTATTTGGAATTTCTGGGGATGAATTTTGATATATTTCAAGGCAAATGGATGACCTGATGAATGTATTCAAATGTTTATTTATATGAAGTTTTGAGATTTTAGATGGAGAATGGATTACTTTAATGTTTTATAGTGGCTTTATGCTGGTACTCGTGGGTTTTGTAAAAAGATATCTTGAGAATTTTTATACAGAGATGCATTCGTGGTGATATTATTAGGATTTTGGTTTTTTTTTTTTCTCTCCCAATTTGTAGCGAGCAATTATTTCTCGTTCTTTTTCTCTACCCAGTTCTCTCTCACCTAATCTCTCTCTCTCTCTCTGCACATTTCTTTACTAACTTCTATCATCTGCAATTCTCTTATAAAACTGCTTTACTCTCTTTCCCCCTTATTAGCGCCTCATATTCTCGACAAAAGTGCCATCTCTATGCGAAGACGATCAGATACCTCCCCAAATCATCAACGGAAATATTATATTTGCGTTTTTTCTTTGAGAAAACTTCCATATTGCAGCTAAAGTTGCAATCACTTTTCTATATTTTTCAGTGTTTTTCTTTTTTTTCTTTTGCCCTTATCACAACCTCAACTATTTTTCAGTGTTTTTATTTTGTTTCTTTTTCCCTTTTCTCCCTCGAGTGTTGAGAGAGAGACGATGATTTGAGAGAGATGGTGCTTTGACAGATAGGTGTCAATCTTTGTTTGGATAAAAAATTCATGGTTGAAGGGGTTCACGTTGTAAGATAGAAAAGATGAAGACCCTATGCTACAAGTAATATTTTCAATCAGTGTTTAAAAAATCGGCGAGTCGAACCGTACTTGCCCGGTTCGACTCGGGAATCGGCACAGGCTGTGCCGGTTCCAGCACAAAATCGGGAACCGCCCTGTTCTAGAACAGAACCGCCGGTTCCCACGCAGTTCTAGCGGTTCCCAGCCGGTTCTAGCCAATTTTTTTTTAGAGAGAGAGCAAAAACAACATATTTCTTTGAAAAGAAGAGAGAGAGATTCTAGGGTTTCGGGGGTTTAGCCCAGGCAAGTATCATCGTCATGACGGCTCAAACCTCGGGCAGTCTTCATAGCAACAGGATCCCCTGCCCAGACCTTCTCTCGGGCAGCCATGGCGGACGCCACCAACCCCATCAATGAATCTAAGCCGTTCATTTATGGAAGGGCAGCATCTCGGGCAGCCATGTTGGACGCCACCAACCCCATCAATGAATCTAAGCCGTTCATTTCTGGAAGGGCAGCATCTCAGGCAGCTCTGACAGAGAGACCGGCAAGCGTAGCTGCTCAGATAAGAGCAAGTAGTGAGCAAAGAATTAGGGTTTACTTCACCTTTTAAATGATAGCCGATGGCTTGGACTAACTTTTCTCTTGATATTGTATCCAGGCCGTTCTTTTGAAAATAACAAAAGAGGTGAGGAAGTGGCTCATATTGTTGGAGAAAGACTGACGAATCTCCACCGTCCATTGTTTGAGAAGAAAGGCAGATGCCCCATGATAAATTGGGAACTGGCTATTCTGTCTAATAATTCCTCGTGGGATTGAATACAATCAATGAGCCCCCATAACAAGAAGGAAATGTTTTGAGCGTGTATGCTATATGCTCCTTCGGGAGCAAAATACTTACTTGATAGAATCTTTTTTTATTTGAAATTTTGGGATCCATTTAATTATCATTAGATGATTATTTTCAAGGAAACTAGTAGATTTTGAGTTTTGAATATCTAGATCATTTCCTGCAAAAATTGGATTGCCATCTTAGGATGCTATTTTTAGGTGAGGTTGGTTGGTTAGTTCTAGATATCACATATCTAAATATTGGATCTAAAAGATATTTCTACCTTTAGTATGATTGGCGTTATATATTTTTTACTCCCACGGGAGTAATTAGAGGTTCTTTATCTCTCTAAAATTTTAGGATATATTTTTAAGATCAGGGTTTTATGCGGCCAAGCTAATTTTTAAGTACACGTAATCTCTAACATGGATATCATGAATAAGAAAAGATAAATAAATTTAAAAAACTAGAAGCAACCATTCTAATTCAAAAACATTTGGACCACTGGTTTTTATTGTTTTTAGATGGAACACCTACTTCCATCCATCTTTAAGATAGAATGCTTTACACTTTTTATTGTAAATATATTCTATTAATAGGCAATTTTAAACATATATGCTAAGGAGGCATGATGGTTATCACTAATGTTATTTGTTTTGACATCTCAAGTTCGAATCCCCTCTTGGGCCATATAATAGTTATCCCCTCTTGGGCCATATAATAGTTATCCCTTCTTGAGTTAATTTTTGATCCCCCTTGGGCATATAATAAATTAAAGTGTTTTTGTTTCCCCTTAGGCATATAATAAATTACAGTGTTTTTGTACCCCCTTAGGCATATAATAAATTAAAGTGTTTTTTCCAAAATTTGTACGCATTTTATTAATTTTTACATTGATAACCAAATCTTTTATTTCATTTATTAATTTTTACATTATAAATCATGTAATGTATTATTTTTCTTATAGTTGTCAATAATACATTTTAAATTAAATAATATTATAAAATATTTTTAATTTGTTATTATTTATTTAATAAAATAATTATAAAATGTAAATTAATAATTATAATTTCAGTATATAATATTATACTTAGTTAGGTTGTAATAATTTTGGATTATAGTTAGTTAGGTTGTAATAATTTGGGTTTTTTTAGCGGATTAGGGTTTTTCACCAAAACGAGATTTTAATGGCCATTCTTTCATTGATTTAGTCTACTCTTTATTATAGTCCATGTATAATTATATATTTTATCCATGATAATGCTATGATTTTTTTTTGCACATTTAATACTTAAGTTTATACAAGGAAAGAGCATCTCAATATTCACAAATTGATGAAAAAAATGAAAGTTAATAATGTAGTACCCTCATTTTTTATTGGATTCCTAAAAAACAACATTTATAATGAATTTTAATAATTTTTTCGGATTTTTTTAAGGCTTTAATTCGAGCCGATTCCCGATCCGGATCGTCGATTCGTCGATCCGAATCGGTTTTTGAGGTGCTCAATCCGGGTCACCGATCCCCTTTTTAAACCATTGTTTTCAATTATTGGATCTCATGATAAATAGAAGTTAAAAATAGGAGATAAGGAGATATTTTCCCAACGATTTTTTCGAAATAGACAAAAATTAAAGATATTTGTGATAATTTTCCAAAAAATAAGTATTCCCATGTCTAAAGATTTCTACAAATTTTTTAGCTTCAAATTTCATTGTCCATGTTAGAAATTGATTTTAGAGCATTGTAGAGATTTTCAAGGATCGAAGTGCTTTCTAACTTGGATTCAAGATGAGGCCTCATAGAAAATGCATTGAAATTTTCTAGTTGATATAAATTCTCAATTTTTGTTTGAGTTTATTTCCTTTAGTTTTTACTCATTCGTATGCACTACACCTCTAAAATTTGTTAGGGTTTTGATCAATGGGGACGAGAGAGGTTTACGAGGAGAAGCTTCGATCGGGGAATTTGTATCATCAGCCTACCATTAATCCAGGCCTTGGCTCTGCTCGTTGCCCCCGCTGTTTGTCTCTCATAAACCCTAATTCTGTAATTCTCTCTCTTAAACCCTATTTCACCCTATTTCTGCTCTCTCACTGTAATTTACTCTGTGAAATTCTCCAATATTTCTTCTTCTTCTTCTTCTCACTCTCTGTGAAATTCTCCAACATTTCTTCTTCTTCTTCTCACTCTCTCTGTATGCTCTGTTTCTGTATATTCTTAGGCTGTGATCTGTTTCGCACTCATAAACTCTAAACTTTGTGTTCCCTGAACTTATCGAACTTGTGTACTTAATGTAGTGCTTAGTGCTTGCCATAAATATCAACAAATGTTCATCATCAGCGCTAATTCTCTAATCACTCCCCTTCTTACATGTTTTCTAATTTTATTTTTATGTAAAAAAAATCATATTTTATGTTGTGAGGTTTATTCACCTTTTCTCCAGCATAAAGGTTACATTTTTGTAGTTGGAACATTAGACAATTCAACCTTTGCACCATTAAATAGTTGACGTGCTTCAAAATTCATATGTGGAATTTGTCTTTTTCTTTTGTGTGGTGAGTTTTTTTTAATGCTTAAATCTGGCAGGCAAATGCTGAATGGGCCATAACAACTGTTTTGGATGATGTAGCAGCAGTGGTATGTCTAGTGATTACAATTTTCATAGCTGAGATGAGGCTGTGTTAGCTCAAAACCAACCTTCTTTTCTTCTCCATCTTATATTTAGAACTTCCATCACCCCCTCCCCCCCAAAAAAGAATACCATTTATTTATTTATTTATTTAAGCAGGCTGGTTCAGGAGCTGGAGGACTGCTAAGTGCTGTTCACGGTTTCAATACAGGTTTGCTTTGCCTTTCCAATTCAAGAAATATTAGTACTTTATTTTTTCTTTCTTTTTTTGTTTTGGTGGGGTGGGGGGTTGGGGGGAGGGTGTTGCAGGGGGAAGTATATTGGAATTTAGGATTATGGAAAACTGTGGTCCATTTGTGTCATCAATGAAATGGCGGATAGCGATGGAGAGTGGAACTGGCTGTTGGGAAGATGTTTGGTTTTGGCGGGTTCTATTTTCTCTATCCGTTATCATTGGTTATTTATTGGATGGAGAAAACCCCAATGGTATGGTTTTCCATAGTTCTTCAGAATGTACCAATACTTTATCTTTGCTCATGGTGCCTTTGTAGGCAGAATTTAGAGTATTGAGTTATACTGGCAGCTGTCAACATGGTGAATGATCAATTTTTTCCCATTGCTACAATTGATTTTCCAATCCTTGATACAAGTCATCAAATACTTTGATTAATCAAATATATTTATTATGCACTAACACAACTTATATACCCATTTGTAGGTTTGAGATTTATACGGAATCATGTTAAGGGACCCATGTGGCTACATTTACTCATTGGGGTATATAATTCTGCACCTGTGTTGGGACTTTAATTTCTTGAATTACAATATAGAGTACAGCTTCTTGGTGTTTCTCTTTAAATCAATGGTTGCCACTTATTTTTAATTTTGGAAACCGCTTGATATTTCGTTTCACTTTCAGTTAGTTTATTGTTTTCCTTTTCATTCATTATTTCTTTGAGAGTAAATTGAAGATTTAGTTGCTTTGTGTATGAAAGTTTATATATATTTTTAGTTATCAAAAAAAAAAAAGTTTATATATATTTTTTGGGAAAATTAAAGTTTATATATATTGCTCATGAAAGGGAAGCTTTTAGTACCTATATGTATGTTGAGATTGTTTTGAACATGTTAAAGATTTAGTATCCTTTGTGTTTGGAAGTTTCTATATTTTGCTCATGAAAGGGAAGCTTTATTTATTTATTTGTCCTCATGAAAAGGGAAGCTTTTAGTACCCAATTCGTATACTGATTTTGTTTAATGTATGTCGTCATGGTATGCAGCTCCCTCCTATCCTTTGTTTACCCAATTCGTATACTGATTTTGTTTAATGTATGTCGTCATGGTATGCAGCTCCCTCCTATCCTTTGTTGGTCTGCTGCTGGTGCTGCATTAGGAGGTAATATTCGGTTCATATAATGAGGATGATATAGTGAAATGCCCTTTCCTTGTGGTTATATATATATATATATATATATATATATATATATATATAATATATATACTACGTACTACTATTAATAATAAGTTAGTTAGTTAGTTAGTACGTCGTGTATACGTCGTCTAGTAC